ACGGCTCCATTCTGGAAGCTATACCTAGACAAAGCTTAGCAATATTGAAAGCGTCGCACTGAAGTAGGGAAACACCTTTTGCGAGTAAAAAAAATCATTTTGATTACATATTCTGAAAATATATACTTTTAAGTATATGTTCCCAAAATTTTCGTGAAGAAATTCAAAAAATTGCGGAGATTATAACCGATTATAATCCGAGATAATGCAAGAATCGGAGGCAAAACACTCGATGCACGTACTCAGTTTCCTAAGGTTTCAAGAGTACAATAAAATGACTGATGGTGTACATTTAAGAAAAGGTAAATGTTCTCTAAAAGTGAAATTCTATTTTTTTATACAGTCGTTCATTTAAGAAAAGGTAAATGTTCTCTAAAAGTGAAATTCTATTTTTTTATACAGTCGTTCACTTAAATCGAGTATCTTAAATTTCTCATCCAAAAAAAAGTATTCTACGTACAAAGTGAATTTTCCTCTAACCTCATATTCTAAAAGAAATATCTTACAGAAAGCATATACATCATTCATTAAAAAAAACCACTCATTGTGCATTTATGAGATATTATTCTAATTGTGTTCCTCTATATCAAGAGGAATATGTTAATTCGAAGCACAATGCCGTCTTATGTGCAGTACGAGAGACGCGAACTGTTGTTTCGCTGCGTACTGTCGTGTACGATTGGTTGAAATCAAGCACCACGCTTAGAGCTTCCACCGTCAATTCTCTGTCGACATTTCAATCAAATCAACGTTGAAATCGTCAAACCGACGTCAGTTTGATATCATTTTGACGTTAATCCACGACGTTTTCACTAAGCTATTTAAGACTTTATGTTTGTGACATCTATATATCCAGTGAAAAAGGACTCGTTGATTAACGTCAAAATAATATCAAACTGACGTCGGTTTGACGATTTCAACGTTGATTTGATTGAAACGTCGATAGTGAATTGACGGTGGAAGCTCTAAGCGTGGCACTTGGTTTCAACCAATCGTACACGACAGTACGCAGCGAAACAACAGTTCTTCGCATCTCTCGTACTGCACATAAGACGGCATTGTGCTTCAAATTAACATATTCCTTTTGATATAGAGGAACACAATTAGAATAATATCTCATAAATGCACAATAAGTGGTTCCCTTTAATGAAAGATGAATATGCTTTTTGTAAGATATTTCTTTTAGAACATGGGGTTAAAGGAAAATTCACTTTGTACGTAGAATACTTTTTTGGGTGCTTTAAATAATTCTGAATATGAAAAATTGCCTATATTTGAAAAAAAGAAAAGTCAAACGTTTATGGTCTTCAACGTAAAAATGTATTTAAAGAGATATTCAAAATGATACCCTCCAACTTTAATACAGTTTTTAATACAATACATAGATGATATTTTTGCCCTTTTTATTATTTCTGAATTTATAATCACACGTGAGTCAAACAACCATCATGTTGATACGACAATAGTAAATATCTATATTTGATGTTATGAATTCTTCATGAATTCAATATGGAATATCCTATCTTGATTTCTATAACATATATTGTATTTGTAAGCATATATATATATCTATTATTTAGGTGATTGTGAAATGCTTTCGTAGTTCAGTATTTCCTGAAATTCTCGCAATTAAAGTTGAAATATGAATAATTATATGAAAGGGAAAAGAATAGAAATTTTCTTTATTTAAATCCTCTAGAGTTTTTTGTGGGAAATATCAAGAAACATTGTTTACAATGGTATACTAACTACATAGGAGAACATAAGAAAGCGCATTTTGGATGCATATGCGATTATAAATTCAGAAATAATAGAAAGAACAAAAGTATCATTTATGTGTTGTATTAAAAAATGTATTGAAATTGGAGGATATTATTTTGAACATCTCTTTAAATAAATTTTTGTTTTAAAAAACATAAATATTTAACTTTTTTCTAATATATGTAATTTTCCATGTTCAAGATTACTTAAAGGTCATAGCTCGCTAGATTACTCTCGATGTTAATTATAAAAATGTACAAAGAAACATGTAATTTCATTTTTTTAAATTACCTTGATCTTGAAATCTCTGAAAAAAATATCCTTAAAAAAATAAATTTCTGTCATCATAATTGCTCCCTCAAAACAGTGTAACTTTTTCCTTAGACTTTTTTCGTATCATCAAAAACAAATGAAAAATTTAAGATGCTCGACTTAAGTACACTATCAGTATATTTTAATGGAAAATTCGATTGGAAGCTCTTGTACGCACTAATGTACACTAAGATCGATTTATAATTCATTCTTATATTTATAGCTGTATTTATATTTATATTTATAACTATATTTATAGAGTTTTATTTTATGTTGAGAATCATTTTATACTTATCTTTAGATGCTATACTAATCGTTTCATTGGTTACGGAACAATCGAAGGCGAATTTAAGATCTTAATTTGCGATCTTAAATATAAAGGATTAAATTACTTAAATATAACGGATTATAAAACGACCTTAATGTGCACTGATGCGCACTAATGTTTTCAATCGAATTTGTTATAAGTATTTGTAAGCGTGATACTATAAAGTGTCTGGATTTAATTTCGATCATTTAGATAAAGTTCGATCTGTCATGTACATCCCTTACGAAAAAGTATTACTGATAATTACTAAAGAAACAGTAACCCCTTAGCGACGGCACCATTTACTTCGAATATGCTCAGACGGAAAATAAAAGTTTTTCGAAAATAAATGAAAGTTGATATAAGGAGCATTTTGATGATGCTAATAAACAATTTTCAGTCAAATTGCAAAAACTTTTTGTCATAAACTCAAAATTGCGGCAAATAACATTGGTCAGCAAAGATTTTGTTGCCAAAGTGTGAATAGTTATTTTCGATGTATTTTTACCTCCTGAACATGAATCCGTCCAAATTCGTCCAAATTTGCCTACCAAGTGACTTTTGTGAAAAATGGCATCAAAGAGGCCAAATATGTGGATTTTTCATAGTCTTATAACATCGGCAACAAATTTTGTTATATACATTTTATGAATGCTACATAAAAGTATCAACTTTTAGCTTTAAAATATATTTTGTTTCATTTTAATATAATTTTTCATTTTCGAGATATAGCTGTATATAAATTGTAGTTGCCCAAAATGTCGCTCACTCACGATATCCAACAGGTACTCAAAACAGCGGGGTATTATCAGAGTTGCTACAGAAAATCAATTTTGAAATTCCCTGACTTTTTCATGTTTTCTAGACGACAGTGGAGAATTTTCCATGACCAATATATAATCTTCAATTTTAACGTTTAGGAACAGGGATTACAGAAAAAGTAGCTTATATTATTAAAAATAATACAAATTTAGTTTAGTAACAATATTCCTAACATATATTCCTGAAAATGTACATTTAGGTTAACAAAAATTATATAAGTATTGGAAAAAAGAATATAGTCATGAGACGGAAAAGAATGATTGAATGAAAAAGCGTTGAGTAAAATATAAATTTTAATTATTTTGTTAACACACACACACACACACATCATAATGCATGGACTAGCATAGATGTATACATATTCAATATAAACTAAGAAAATCTTATTTATTTTTAAGTAACATTTAAATTCCTATATGCCTATAAAATATTAAAATTAAAAAAAAATAAACTTGATACATTAATAAAATCCCTAGTGACCCTAGATTTAGTAAGTATCTAGAGATTATGTATTCTTTTCTTATAACCCAGGGAGAATCACTCTAATTTCAAAGAATTGTAAGGAAATTCCAGGTTATTTTATATTTTTCCCTGATATATCCCTGATATTTTCATGACAAATTTAAATTTCATGACTTTTCCTGATTTTCCATGTCTGTAGCAATCCTGATTATTATGTTCAACAGACCTAAAAATCTCTATATACAGGGTGTCCCGCCACTACCGCATTATCTCTTAAGGATGGATTCTTGAGGTAATTTGAAGAAAAAAATCCTAATGCAAAAATGTCGAGGCTATAATACTTTTGAAATTATAAATGATTAATGTTGACCAATTATATTGGCTAAATATGCGCGTCCAGGTACGGTATAACACACAATGGTACAGGTGCAGCATATAAGTGAAAATTTACATAAGATATGAAATTAGTTGTAAATTACTGAAAGAAATGTCAAATGTGTGACAGCTTACTGATTCTCATAAATGTATTGTGTGATATTTTATTCATAACATTTTGACGAGATTGTTATTATTTGCGATATGTTTATTTAAATGATAGAAAAGGCAGATTATTATTACATATATTGTTATATGTATAGAACTTCCGTATCAATATTTGGAAAAGGGACATGTGCATGCACCTGTACCACTGTGTGTTGTACCATACTTGAGCGCACGTATTTTAGCCAGTATAATTGGTCAACTTTAATCTTTATAATTTGAAAAGTATTATAGCCTCGCCACTTTTGTATTAGGATTTTCTTATTCAAATTACTTCAGGAATCCGCCCTTAAGAGATAATGCGGTAGTGACAGGATACCC